AATCTAAATGTGCAGTACTGCATAGAAAAAAAGATCAAATCAAAGATTGCTCATATGGAAATTTGTTAGATAATAACCAATATGCTGAATTATTACTCCGTTTACTGTATTGTTATCTATGATCTTATTAAATGTGGCCCTGCGATGGACTGGGGACCGTCCAGGGTGACCCTGCCTCTCCCCATTGACCACTGGGTTAGGCTCCAGTCCCCCCGCGACCCCATTAGGGAATAAGCGGTTATGAAAATGGATGGATGGATTAGTAGATGTACTACATAATGATGCGGGGCTGTCAGGTTTTCTTTGGGGATTTAATGTGGTGTCTTTATCTGGTGCTGTAAACAATTGGATTTTCACTCTTCCACCCCTAAAAGAAGAAGGATGCGTTCATGTTACACACGTCAGACACTGAGACCTTTCTGTTTAACAAATGCTGTGTTTTGTCTGTCAGTGAGGCGTGGGGGAATTTGAATGTCGCTGTCTTTTGGCACATTGTAAAGAGGCTCCAAAGGCAATTGGCTTCCAAGAACAAATTAAATTGTTAAATTAAATTAATTGAATAAATTACATTAAGATGTTGTGTTCAAAAGTACAAACAAACAATCTATCTATCTATCTATCTATCTATCTATCTATCTATCTATCTATCTATCTATCTATCTATCTATCTATCTATCTATCACAGTAATAATGTCATGATGGGTTTGATGTTCCAGCCCACACGCAGAACACAATACAGGAAGCGCTGATCAGGTGAAGGGGTTTATTGACACAGTGGCACAGGGGAAAGTGGTCCCGGGAAAGGGGGCTCCAGGAGCGGTCAGTGAGTGAGCCGATAGCCGGGACGGGCTTACTTGGCTCGAGTTCAGAGTTCGGCTGGGAAGCCGGCGGGAGGGAAACAGAGTGGCTCGGGTCCAACGGGTGCGAAGCCGAAGCCGGAGCCGAAGAGCTCCGGAGAAGCTGGTACGTGGATCCTCGGGTGGCACGGGAGGCTCGGGCAGCCTGGGGGAAATCCAGGTCCTCTGGGCAAGTTACCTGGCGGCAGGGAGCAGGAGAGTAAATTCACTCAGTGATTTTCACACAGAGAACAGAGACTGGCTCAAGAGGGCTCGGAGTTACCATTACTGGCTAACACTCGGGCGTCGAAGATCTGGCAGTCCGCTCCTTAAATGCAGCCGGGCGGTTTCTTTTGATTGGGATCTGGTGTGATGGGTGATGACATGTGAACCCAGGGACGAGTGGCTGGGCGCCTCTAGTGGCGGAATGGTGAGTGGGAATAGTGACGAGGGGATCAGAGAAACCGGACTATGACAGTACCCCCCCTTCAACGGTCGCCACCTGGCGGCCCATAGGAACATGAGGGAAGAGAGGATCGGTAATCAGAGATGAGGGTCGGGTCCAGGATGAGAGAACCGGGGACCCAGGACCGATCCTCCGGACCGTAGCCCTCCCAATCGACAAGGTACTGCCATCCGACGGGAGTCCACGACCCGGCGGACAGAGTAGGCCGGATGGCCACCAACTTCCCGGGGGGGAGGAGGGGGCTCGGAAGGCGGGCACAGCGTGCTGGTCCGGACGGGCTTGATCTGGGAGACGTGGAAGGTGGGGTGGATGCGGAGGGATGTGGGGAGGTGGAGAC